TTTACTCTAATTAAAAGTTTATAAAGAGCGGCTGTTTTATTTGTCTTAAATGCGTAAAAGAGATGCGTAAAATCGGAGAAGTGAATATTTTAAGAGAAAAATTAATATTTCGAATCAGTCCCCCGAAAAACTCTCTCGAATTCGAGTCAGGAGTGAAACTCGCTCGATGTCGGAAGAACTCTTGGAAGAAGAAGAAACAAAACGAGCAAAACTCTATTTTTTAGTTTTGCTCTAAGAAGAGGTAGTGAGCTTTGTTTTTTAAGAGTGGGAGAATTTTTTTCAAAAACGAGCAGATTTTGCTCTTGTCGAGCACTCTTTTTGTTTAAGCTTACAGTTGCTTTACTGCTATGGATGTGACTTTTTTTCTGTACACTATCACACCCCGCCTCAGTACCCTTTCTGCCCTTGCCACCCGTTTTCCCCTGCCCTCAGGGGAGAGCAGAGCAGTTCACATAACATGCACTGCAGGTCTGTCTCTCTCTCACTTTTCCCGATTTTTTTAAATATTATTTAGGGGATTTCAGATTTTAAATGCCATTCACGCTTAAAAGGAAAGCACAATTACAGGAACTTATAAGAAAAATAACATTTTTGAATTATTTCCGATATTCTCCATGTTCCATTACCTATGGACTAACCCATAACAAGTCATAGTTGAACAAATAATTGAGCACAGAATATTTTACGGAGGCTATGGACCCCCCATAAAAGATAGTGCTGCATCGTAATTACCACCCATGTTGTTTTTGTTATTTTTGTTGTTTTGCAAATTCCTGTTCCTTTTGGTTATTCTACTCTTGTAATTTGCTGATACTGATTAAAAATGTTGGACTTATTTAATGTCGAGAAAAATGAGCCAATGCACCGGAGAAATAATATCTCACGATTCCCCATTAAGCGGACACAAAAGATTTGACATTTACTCGTTGGGCAAACATCAGCAGAGCCAAGGAAAATTGTTATAATTTAAAAACAAAATACTAAACAAACTGATATTTAAAAGGCTACAACAACAATTGAACACTTGGTGACATAACATGCAATTAGACGTCAAGCCATGATCTTGATTACGTTGAATGAGCGACATTCTCGCTTTTTTTTTGCTCTTCCTTGGAAACGATTTTCATTTCAATTTAATTGAATTAGAATTGAGAACAGCCTTAACCATGAACGCCAACAACGAGAAGAACATCAAAGATTACAAAACTGATTTGGTAATGACATTAAATCAAGACGCTCCGGGTTTCTTATGTAAATTTTAAAAGCTACACTTTCGCGAACTTTCGTATTCGACAATTAAATGCACTTTGCTCGGTTTGAACGAGGCCTATTCGCCAGCCACACTGAATTCATTACATCATTAATTGTATCACTCAGAACTGAAAGCACATGAATCTCAATTACGACTCGGAAATTTAAATGGAATCTCGTCGAGAAATTCATTCATTTCCCATTTTTTTTTGTATGGATGATAGAATTTTTCTTGTTAAATAGGGGGTGATTCGGGAAAGTGCATACATACTTGGATTTCAAAGGAATATTGGCCCTTTAAACCAAGAGATTTACGTCTTGGATATTAATTATTTTTACAACGCATATCGAAATTGAGAGGAGATTCTAATTCTAGGGAATTTTAGAGATTAGAACAAGAAAATGTAGGTAAGTTCGGCCGAAAAGAACTTTAAATACCCTTTACCATTTGGAAGGAGCTTGCAAAATGTAAATGCCAAATGTAAATACGTCGAAAAATGCAGCTATAATTTTTAAAAAATTGAATATCAGATTTTGCAGTTAAATTGGGCTATACGAAAACGTGGGCCTCTAAAGGCAATTATCTACCAGAGAAGGTGGTTCTTATTACGAACTCCAAATACCAAGTTAGTGATAAAATGCTGAATATTGGCAGGGTGTCACATGTAAATTTGGGCTTTTATACATAATTTTCTGTTAAAGAAAGTAGTACCCAGTGCAAACTCCAAGTTTCAAATTAAAAAGTAAAAAAAATACCCTTCACCTTAGGGTGAAGGAAACATTAGAACCCATTACGAATACCAATTTTTAGACATATTCATGGTAAAATGTGCCAAAAATCATCAAAATACCGAATATCGGGAAATACCGCTACAAAATCGTGGACCTATACATTCAATGTTTCGCCATCGGAGCTAGAACCCATTATGAACAACAAATACCAATTTTTAGACAAATACGTGAAAAATAGTGGCAAAAATCATCAAAATACCGAATATGGGCAGGTACCGTTATATGGAGGCTATACCAAAACGTGAACCTCTACATACAATATTTCGTCCTAGTTCGTGGACCCTTTATGACCTAAAAATACCAATTTACCGTTACATGGGGCCTATACCAAAACGTGGACCGATATATCTCATTTTCAATACCAACCATTCTAGAAACAATACAAATTGTTCTGCAAAGTTTTGACACACTACGTCAAATAATGTATAATCGACTTAGAATTTTACGTTGATTATGAATATATATACTTTAAGATTAAGATTAACTTTCCATTTAAAATATACTGAAAGGACAGAATAGCACATCCCTTGTGAAGTAATAAATTCCATGATAACAATCTTGATTAAAATGGAGAATTTTCTGAACCAATGCCAGATTTGTCTATGAAGTGGTCCAATTTTACGACATTTTTGAATCAATCAAACTTATTTCAGAAATGTGGACTAATTGGACCGAAGTATGCCAAACCGATTTCCGGTGCCAAATCGAGGACTCGGTTTCGAAGATATCTTATATACCATCCTAGCATATAGATGACTGTTCGACATTGACACAATATCCCGGAAATTAATTTCATCCAAACAGATGTGGGGTCCAAACCTTCAATATGCCCTCAGCCAAATGGCTAGAGGGGGTATATATCATTTGATGCCTAATCGTAATAACGATTTTAACCCTAGGTCTCTTTGAAAATTTCCAAAGAAAGTATTTTGCTGCACAGAAAGAGAAAGGTCGATCCGAGTTAGCTCCAACTTTGCTAATCCTAATATTAGCCTCGGTCCTATTTCAGGTGAGAAAATGATAAAATCGGTCCACTCCATCAAGTACCTCCCCCACAAAGAGTCACATTTTTAAATAGTATAGTATCCGGAGATTTTGGTGGCCATTGTGCGCTGGAAATGAAGCGGGGATCCTCATTTTATAAACATTCTTGGGTGGCGCGTGCTGAGTCCTGTTGGAAGACCTTGAATGCTGTAGTGCTTTAACCCTGGCCACTTGTGATTTTCCAGCCAAATATATGTATTTGCATTAACCCAAGGTCTGTCGGTCCACTTCTTCTGCTACCTTCCCCACAATGGGTCAAAATCTTGTATATTCATGAAGCTCATAATCCGCGAAATTAACATCCGATTCCATTCAGTCTAGCCATATTTCAATATTTCTGTCAACACAATATCTGTTATAAAGATGGTAGAGATCGGATCATTCCTTCTAGCACCTCCCCCACAAATGGCCAAATTTTTAAATAAACAAAATGATTATAAAATCCGAAATAATCACCCGATTCTCTTTATATTTCACACATCCCATTATTTCTACTAATACAAGATCTGCTATGAAGATATCGATCCACTCCTTTTGGCATCTCCCCCACAAAGGAGCAACATTTGGAGTATCCATGATGCTCCTAAGCCGCGAAATTAACATCCGATTCCATTCCTGACTTGGTACATCTCAATATTTCTATCAACACAAGATCTGCTGTAAAGATGGTAGAGATCGGACCATTTCTTCTGGTACCTCCCACCACATGGGGTTAAAGGTTTTAAAAAACAAAACGATCTATGCTCTTCAAAGGCATCTGGGCGAGATAGAAGCATCCATATACAACATCCTTTGTCCGTGACTAATATTTTGAGGTATTGCAAACTTTTCGCCGAATCGAATTAATTATACCCCCAACACATAGTGTTGTAGGGTATAAAAATCAAAAATACAATTTCGTACCGCTTATGGATTTATATATTTATAAAATAAGTGTTTTTTTTTTTTCTATTTTACTATGACAACTTGTTTGTATTTTTCAAAAAACATTTTCACTGTTTTTGGAGTGATTTGCTGTTTACATCTTCGAAAGAAAACAAAACGTCTCGGGTGTAAAAATTCGTTTACTTTCGAAAAACAAATTTCATCAAATGGCGCCATTCTTATTTATATTTTTGTCTTTTTTTTATTTTTTTAAATATTTGTGGCCGCATGGCATAAAAATAGAATGTCGTTACGTGGGGTGTGCGAGCGAGTAAAGTGAAATGCGCACCAAATGCCGCAGATTTCCAATTCACACGTTGAGTAGTGGCAGAGATGTGTTGTCTAGATTTTTGACAAGGCCACTTGACATTTTTTTCTTCTTATTTTCTATATCTTTTAGAGGTCAGTAGTGTTCAAAACAAGCAAATACTAAATACGTATATGTGGGTTCTGAGTAGAATGGCATGTTTGAAATTGAAATTTGGATGGCAAACAATGCGTCATCGCGTCAGAAGATGACAGTGAATTTCTAGAAAAGTTCAATAAACCAATTGGGGTTCGAAGGGACTTTGGGCGTTGTTAATTGGATTTTTACAATGTCACCAACATTTGGCCAAGACATTGGTAATGACTTGTTGGGCGTTGATCACAAAAAATAGAAACAAATATCAATTCAATGAACTTTTATTCGATTCTCCTTGGTGAGATTTCGTTCGTGTTTTTTAGGAACATTTATCACGTGTGTGAGAATTTTTATTTTAATATGAAATAATTTTTAGTGGATATACTTACTTCCATATCGATCGTTCACAGTCAATATATTTTTAAAAATAAATTTAAATAAATTTATTTGTGGACAGTAGTTTTCCATTGCACTCACCTTATTTGGGTCGTATTTCAGTCACACTCAGTTATAGGTCCAATTTTCGATTTTTTTGTATTAGGCTGTCGCATTTCCTTCTCCATAAAGTATAAACACCATATCCAAATAATTAGTAATTAGTTTTATTGCCTTACAAATAGAGTGTATAAATAAAATAAAAACAATTAAATCAGCTGTCAATTATTTTTTGTGGACATACATATGTGCATCTAGACATACAGACAGAGTGTCTCCAGAGACACCTTTTAAATTACGCTAAAAACAAATCATTACATATGAAAAAAAAACTAAAAACAAAACATTTAAACTTAACTTTAGTGCTAATAACTGTATCAAAAGATATTATTAAGCTCTAGCCCTATGTATGTATGTATGTGAAATAATGGATACTCGTACATACACAACGTATGTACACTTGTAATTAACATTTCGTATAATTATCAATTAAATATTTAAAAAAATAGGTGATGTCCTTTGACAAACATCCTTCTCACAGCGACAGTGGCGTCATTTGACATCTCCATCTAAATGAGGGCACAGCACACCTGACCATTTTTACAATCGGTGCCGGGTCTCATCAGAGCCTTGTGACAACGATCCATACATTCACCCAAATGTTGGTCACATGGAGCTGGTCTCACGGGCACTGCATCATTGATTGGCCATGGATTTGAAACGAAACGGAATGCAAGAGAAAAATGGGAAAATGCACAAGTTACCAATTAGTTTTCTTTTTGTTTATCAATTGTTGGGAAATAGGGTTAAAATTTTAATTTTGATTTGGAATATTTTTTTTTTTGCCAGTAATTTTGGAGGCTATTTTCAAGTGGAATGATAATAGGATTTCCCTATTAAAGTTGGAGTGATGTGTGATGTTTTTTTAGATAGTGTATTTTTTGCATTTGTTTTCTTTTTTCGGTACTCACATTCATAGCAGCATTCAACACCCAAATGCTGGTTGGATGGGCAGAGACCCTTGTTGGTGGTGGGCAGGAGACAGTCACTGTTGTGCACACAAAGACCGCCCACAAGGACACACTGACGATCGCCACGATAGACTTTGACACCTTGAATCACTGCAAGGAGAGAGGGAAAAAAAGAGAAATGAGGATATGTAACTTGTTAAGATAATCTGATAGTGTGAATGTGGAGTCATGTGTTTCATTCCGATTTCCGAAAATCAATAACTTATAGTTAATAACTCTTGGAGGACTTCAAAATACCAATTTTACTGGTTTCCCAATTCCACAGAAATACATTTCTATACATTGTTTCTAAGTAAATTTTCAGGTTTTGGATGTTTGTTTGGTTTTATGACTCCATATTTTTTTTTTTTTTTGCTTTTTGTCAGATGTTCAAAATTTCCGAAAATAGTAAGAAAATCTCTATGCAAAAATGTGAAAGTTTTTACTACGATAACCTATTTTCCCTTTATGACATCGAAAAAAATTGCAAAACTGGAACAGGGCAATAGTAAGTTCGGCCGGGCCGAACTTTGAATTACCTCCACCATTTGGAAAAAAATTGTAAATTTCCAAAAAAACAAAAATAAATAAATAAAATAAGTTGAAAAATACTTTTAAAGTCATAAAAATACCGAACATATATCGGTCCACTTCTTTTGGTACTTCCCCCACAAAGGTTCTAAATTTTAAAACGCGAAATTAACATCCGATTTCATTCAGACTTGGTACATCTCAATATTTCTACTAACACAAGATTTGTTCAAAAGATGGTAGAGATCGGACCATTCCTTCTGGTACCTCCCCCACAAAGGGTCATAGTTTTGAATATCCAAAGTGATAAAATCCGAAACAAGCATCCGGTTCTTTTCAAGTTTCACTTATCCCATTATTTCTACTTACACAAGATCTGTTGAATATGGGATATATCGGTCTACTCCTTCTGGTACCTCCCCCTCAAAGGGTCAAAATTTTGAATATCCATAGAGCTAATACAACGCGAAATTAACATCCGATTCCATTCAGGCATCTCAATATTTCTGTCAACACAAATCTGTTATAAAGCTGATAGGGATCGGACCATTTCGTGTGTTACCTCCCCCACATAGGGTTCAAGATTTTGAAAAACAAAATGCTCAAAGAATACAAAACAATCATCCAACTCTCTTCAAATTCCACACATACAAACATTTTTTCTAACAAGACTTGTTCTGAAGATGATACATATCTAAAAATCCCTTATGATACCTTACTCACAAACGGTCACAATTTTCAATACTTGTATCTGTCTTAACTTGCGAAACAAGTCATCGATTCTTTACAACTTCCTATATCCAAATATTTCTCTCGACCAGAAACCTAAGATGAATATGAAATTTATGATTTCGCATGAAAGTAAAAATAAATGTTGAATTTTCTTGTAATTTAAATATATTTAAATAATCGAACATTATCGGAGGGTATGCATCGGGAAAACCAACTGATACTCTTTGATTTTTAAATTTTATTAATAGTTATATATATTTAATCTGCAACAACTGATTATTTATTAGATTTTTGAAAAATTATTTCTATAAAAACAACGTTTATATATTTATTCTCGTAACGGTCATGTATACCCCCTGCTAAACAGAGAAGACCATGAATTCGAAAAAAATGTCTAGTCCCCGTCTTAGAGAAGGCTCGTCGAAGAAGAATTTTTTTCAGAGAAAAAAAATCTCCTTGAGTTATCTTAATTTTGCTGGGATCGTATGCTAATGTTAGTCTTTTAAAGAACGTCGTTTGATGACCCCCTACTTGTATTGACAAATTTTTGCATAGATATATGAGAACAAAACATTAAAAAAATAACAACAATGGAAAACCAATTCAATACATTATTTTGTTCTGCATATTCAAAAAATTAGGGCAAAACAGGAATATCTTGTAACAAGATTCTGTGAATATTGAAAATAATTTCATCCGAGCTGTAGACACGACATCCTATTTTTCTCAATTTTCTATACGTGACGATGTTACCAATTTTGTCTATCTAAATGCGAAATGTTAAGCTAATCGGGAATATATATACCCTTTTAGATTTCAAAAGTATTTACTTCAAGGTAAAATTTGTAGTTGAGAAAACTTCTAAGTTATTTCAGACTCGTTAACTCGACTCTATAAAGTAAGGCAAGAAACATCGAACCACTTGTATGCTAATCGAGATAATAAAAATATTATTTTTAATGGGCTTTTGTTTCATTCACAGATCTTTTGAAAATCGTTCAAGTGATTGTCTCGAAATCTTGAAATGATTTTTTTTATGAATTAATAACAAAAAACATATTTATTGGCATCTCAAGTATGTTTTTTGTTTTCTGAATGGCATTGCAAACAGATGGTGTTCCAATTCATCGACGCATGGATGGATGGATGATTCGATGGCTGCATGAGGTGTGAATATTTATATTCACACTTCGACATTCGGCAATGACGCTGAGATGATGTTGCGAATAATTCACTTTGGCAGCTTTTCGATGTACACAGCGCCAATGAATGGATGGTGTTATAAGCAGAGCATTATGTTTTGAGATTCCTTTCTATTTTTATTTTCGTCTTCTTTTCAATGAAGTGCAATTAATCTTTTTTGTCGTTTGTGTGTTATTTGTCCATTGTAAACAATGCCAAGCCTGATAGCTGGCTAATACAACATCGTGTTGGAGAGTGCGTGTTGTGTGTTTTGTTTGAATATGTCTTTCATTTAATTTATTCAATACACGAATTGTTTTGTTATTATCATTTGAATGGTAAATAAGTTTGAATTTTTGGAATGCTTAACTATTGTCTAATTCGGTTTTAGTTATGTTCGATTGAAACTGACGCGATTTCTCACATATAATGCAGCATTCGAAGTTCTAAGAAGTTAGTATATGGTTATTATTTATTGATTATAAAAATATAATCATAATTTATTTATAATTTAAAGTTTGTGAGAGGTTAAACTCACAACTTAAAAATACACAGGTATTCGATTAACCGTGTCAAGTTATACTCACACTTGGTTATGATGTTGCAACGAGTGTGACCGCAAACTAATGGCCGCAATTATTAACTCGTTGACAACACCACAGTGGTAAATCCAAAAATATTTTTCAAGCCGCAATTGGAAGGTTCATTGACTTGTTTAAAATGATGTTTTATTTGTTGGCTCACTTCCCAACTGGACAGCAAGAAAATACCAGTCCAACTAATGCTTTATTCAAAAATATTGTAATTTTTTAATTAAAATACGATACGGCATTTCATTACATATACAGGGTGAGATAAAAAAACTGCAACAAAGTCAAAAGCCTTAATTTTTACGTTTTTTTAATTTTATTGAATGAAAGCAAAAAAATGTCAGAAATAGCATCAAATTTTAAAATAAGTTTAGTTTTTTTGGAATTAGTCCCCTTTGATACGAATTATGGCCTTCAAACGGCCAATGAACCGTCGCACGCTGCTCGAATGTTGCTCTGCGTTATTTTGGCCAATTCCGGCGAAGCGCTTGTTTGAGGTGATCGACACTTTGGTATTTTTTAGCGCCAACCTTGCCTTCCAAAATACTCCAGACACAATAGTCCAACGGATTGGTATCCGGAGATTTTGGTGGCTATTGTGAGTTGGAAATGAAGCGAGGAACCTCATTTTGTAACCATTCTTGGGTGGTGCGTGCTGAGTCCTGAGTCTTTAATACACCCTCCAGAATATTTTTGCGATAATATTCGGCAATTATTCAGATGACACGGTCGATTAATACGAGCGGAGAGCGACCATCGGCTGTTATGGCTGCTCACACCATCACCATGGCTGGCGGCCAAGCTATTTTTGAGTCTATTTTCTTTCTGTTGCGGTGTAAGTTCTTGCACTTTTTGGAATATCGATGGCTTTATTTACCGAATGAAATATTGCGAAATGTTCACGAATCATTTTACGACTATTGCGACGCGGGTTTCGATCAAGTCGCTTCTTTTCATTTCCATTTCTGCTAATGTTGCTGTTTTCTTCCGTCCACTTCCTCGACGTCGGGCTACGCTACCAGTGCCATGGTAACAAGCGATGGTACGAGACACAAAAATGATTTATTCACATTTAAATGCTGGAGCGCTCTAACGATAGCCACTTGTGGTTTTCCAGCCAAATATAAAGAAATCACATTATCTTGCTTGCATTCCATCACGAAAAACTTTTTTTCTGGAAAATTCTCACCAAAATGCTTTTGTACGCTTGTAAACAATATAATGAGCTATCACTGTAATAATTTTAACTGCTGTCGGACTAGTGGCTTATAAATTAAAGCATTCTGAAGTTGGTTGCAGTTTTTTCATCTCACCGGTATATATATGTGAATTTTCGAATTTACTTTCAAATCGCATCAAATTTAATATGCAAATTGTTTTCAGCGTACTTTTATTAGTATTACCTCTATAACCGCCAAAATATTAATTTTAGACCTCACAAACTATAGGTTTTAAATTCCTAGTCGACCGTCCGACTGTATTTTGGTTGTAATCAGCAATTTCATGCAATTATTTCCAAAGGATTTTTGTTGAAGGCGTCCGATATTAAAAATTCCATCTGACTAAATTTAAGGTTATATTTATTAGTGTTTAAAGTTTTTTATACCCTCCAATATGGAGGCTATATTAAGTTTGTCATTCCGTTTGTAACACCTCGAAATATACATTTTAGACCCCACAAAGTTCATATGAAGAAGAAATACTCTCGCCGTTTATCTTCGGAAATTCGGAGCACCAGATGTCGTCTATATCGGGTATTCAGAAGTATGGGTGAAGATATTGAAGTCACTCAATTGTATAAAGTTAAAAATAACAACTGTAGGATTATTTACAGTTAAAATCTATTCCATGATATCATGTGGGGGTACATTAAGTGATGACATCGAAAAATACGCCATTAATCCAGTGGAATTCTTGAAAAAGGATGAATTGTGTTTCGAAATCGAGTCGGCCCGTGATGAGAGCCACCTGCATAAAAAGACAAAACTAACTTTCCGTTGTCTAGTTATTCATTAGTCTATGATCCAGCTACTCTTATTGGCACATGATTCGCTCTCTTTAAACATACAACGTCCACAAATAGTTGCCAACAATAGCCGGAAAATATCGAGTAAATTTTCAATATGAAGTACTGACATTTCCAGCAAATACAAGCTAAATTTATTTAATCCAAGGGAAATCCCCCGTATGAGTCGGTGAAATTTATAAATTAATTGCATGAATTTAAGTCTTGGCTGTCTTAACTTCGTAAGCACAATTTTTATGAAAACAAAAACTTTGTCGTATGAAACTCGCATGCAGTTGCGAGCATTCGAACCACAATTTGGCTTCCATTCAATTCGTTAAGTGCAACCTGTTTGACAACATTGACAAGAACATTTCTCCACTTCTGCGGCGCAGCACTTTCACAAATTCTGCAAATCGACTTTCTTTCAAGTCGTCTTGTCTTGGCGTTGATCAAATGGGATGAAACAGCACAAGCAGATAAGAGGAGGTACATTCAATGTCAGGGTTTTACACATTTTTTTAAAAATAAACTGCCAACAAAAAAGAGATGAGAAAAATAAGCTGTGCGTTCTATTTGCAGTCATCAGTTGTATTTAATTGCGCAATTCTTGATAATCGTGTCTACGTTGCACGTTGCAAATGGAAACTCGTATGGACATCCATCCATCTATACATCCATACGTACATATTTGAAATTCACATTCACATTTTTTTTTTTGCATTGAAGCAAAAACAAACAAAACTCAGATCAGAAGTTCAAAAACTGATAACACAGCATCGTTCGAGACAGTGTTGAAGTCAATCCAAAAAACACGCTCACCATAAACCTTTCAAATCTCAAAACAAAAACCCAATCATACGTACTTCGATATTCTGGAGGATCACTGACTTCGTTGTCATCAATGTCAGCCGTAACCGGTGTTGTGGATATTGACAAGATCAGAATTAATCCAGCGCAGAGGTACAGCAGGGCTTTACACGACATTTTGTAATATATGTTTATTTTATTTTCTTCCCTTTTTTATTTAGTAAATTTTAAACACGCAATTGTTTAGTTCCGTTTTAATTGGAAAAATGTTTTTTTTTTTTTTTTTTTTTTTGCAAAAAATATTCTTGTTTTTTTTTTTTTTGTATTGTCAGTTCTTGAACGGATTTGATTGACCACTTCTTGTTGTTCTGTTCAACGCGGCTCGCATTCAACTGAATGTTCTAAATTGTTCGCTGAATCTTTTTATAAATAATTTTTATATTTATTATTTGTGAAAACCAAAATGAAAGACACGCTCGGCCACTTTGTTGTTTTTCCCCGCGGAGACTTTGCGATTTTCGAGGAATGCGATTTAATTTTGAGATGGTATTTGACTGCGTGAAATCTTTCGCACAACTAACTGTCACCGAATGGCAGCAATTTGTTTTTTTGTGTTTGGTTTTTTTTTTTTATTTTAATTGATCAACGGTTGACAGTGTGGAGCGACAGAGGTGAGAAATGGCAGCAGCAAACGCCAAGTGTTTGTAGTCGGCTTGTGGGACAGTACTCTCGCATCTCCTACACTGACCGAGTCAATGTGTTTGGTGATATAAAAGTTTATCATTTAGTTTCGAAGAATAAAAAATATTGAGTACTTAACGACTTTTGCATGGCCTAGTTGTCGACACATTTAAAATAATATTTTCCCCTAAACCTTCATCAAGTTATTTATTTTCCACGAACAAGAAATTGGTGGGGAAAATATACTAGCGAGATAAAAATGTCTATTTAACCGATTTCGCTTCTCTGTTCGATTTGAACAGTAAAAACACACTTTTTCAAAAAATACTAATTATGTATAAAAAGTGTAAAATTTTAAACAAATTTTTGTGCAGGTAGTAAGCGTCATCTTTAGTAATTAAAAAAAATCCCCCACCCCCTAAAAATACTAAAACCCAACACCACCTTTGGAAGGAACTTCAAAAATTTCAAAATATACTATTATACCTTTATACGGAGGCTATACGAAGACGTGGACCTGCATAAGTATTTTTTTGTCATAGGCTGTAGTGCACATTAAAATCTTCAAATAAGAAATTTGAAATAATTCCGATGAATAATGTCGTTAAAATCATCAAAATTCTGAATATCGAGAGGTACACTTATATGATGGGTATACGAAAACGTGGACCAACATGGCCCATTTACGAACTTAACCTACCTACTACCTAATTTTAGCCTTCTATCTCCATTCGTTTGATAGATAGCATGATTACAAGAGACACACAGATAGACTGACCGACGCACATTGCTAAATCGTCTTAGAATTTTACGCTGATCCAGAATATACAGGGTGAGATAAAAAACTGCAACAAATTTTTCCTTTTTTATTTTATTGAAAGAAAGCAAAAAACTTTCGAAGCGCCCGCTTGAAGTTATCGACACTTTGGTATTTTTTAGAGCCAACTTTGCTTTCCAAAATACTACAGACAAAATAGTTTAACGGATTGGTATCTGGAAATTTTGGTGGCCATTGTGCGCTGGAAATGAAGCGAGGAACCTCATTTTGTAACCATTCTTGGGTGGCGCGTGCTGACTGCGATGGTGCTGAGTCCTGTTGGAATGTCCAAGGTCGGTTCGGCATTTATTCTGATGCCACGGTCGATTAATATGAGGAGAGAGCGACCATCGGGTGTTATGGCGGCCCACACCATCAGCATGGCCCAGGTTGAGTTCTGGTGGCAAACCGAAGGTGCACATTTTCAGCGGACCTCTTTGGCAAGAAAACACGATCATTTTGTTTGTTTACAAACTGCTGGACAACGAATATTTTCTCATCGGAAAAAACCAAATTCGGCAATTCACCCCTTTCTGCCATGCGAAGCAACTCTTTAGCTTTTTTGAGTCTATTTTCCTTTTGTTCCGGTGTAAGTTCTTGCACTTTTTGGAATTACAATGGCTTTACCCCGAGCTCATTTTTCAATATATGCCGAATGGAAAATTGCAATATGTTCAGCTCGCGAGCCATTTTTCGGCCACTGCGACGCGGGTTTCGATCAAGTCGCTTCTTTACTTTTCGAACCATTTCTGCTGATGTTGCTGTTTTCTTCCGCCCACTTCCTTAAAGTCGGGCTACGCTACCAATATCACGGTAACGAGCGATGGTACGAGACACAAAAGATTTATACACATTTAAATGCTGAAATGCTCTAACGATAGCCACTTGTGGTTTTCCAGCCAAATATAAAGAAATCACACTATCACGCTTGAATTCCATCACGAATAACTTTTTTTCTGGAAAATTCTCACCAAAATGCTTTGGTACGCTTGTAAACAATATAATGAGCTGTCACTAGAATAATGTCGGACGAGTGGCTTAGAAATGACAGCAGTTTGAAGTTGGTTGCAGTTTTTTCATCTCACCCTGTATTTGTTTGTGTCTCTTTCGAGAAGAGCTTATTTTATTGATCTACAATTTTTCAGTTTAATTATTTTTTTTTTCTTTTTTAATGACTGGTAGTCAAATGATGAAAAATTAAATACTTATTGTGCATATCAACTCTTTTTATCAAAGCGTACAGCATTTATTATTCGTCTCCATTGGCCACAATGGTTTCCGTAAACAAATACGAGTACGCTCATTAAATTGTGTTTTTTTAGCCTAGCCGACCGATTGTGTGCTCTGAGAGCAACACCAGCCATTCATAGTTTTGCGCTCATCTTCGCATTACTTTTGCATGTTGTTTACATTGTTACGATGTTGTTTTGTTGTTATAAAATAAATAATTGTATAATATTATAACATTGTTTTTGGTTGATTTAAATTTTTGATACATAGTTAAGTTTATATAAACAATTAAATTTGTTTCTGCCTGATTTTAAATTTGTTCGGCCATTTAATGGGGAATTACTAACCGCTGCAACAAAATTATGGTTGTGGGAAATTCCTTTAAGATATGAAAGTTCTAAAAATAGCACACAGGTCAAATATATGAGTGATAACGCGGTGAAATTTTCGTTTGAGAATATCTCTGTTTAGTGTTGTTGTAGTTCCTTTCTGCTAGACCAAGTCTTCATTTTTAATCGAATAAGGGATGTTTTTTTTAAGAAATTGTATCAAACTTAATCAATTTCATCAATTTTCTTGTCATTCTTTACACAACATTGAATCATCTGTGAGTTTAGAATCAAATGTTTATATTTATAATAATTTTAATTTAATTCGTACATTATATTATTTGTTATATTTCTTTATGAAATCCAAAAAAAAAAAAAAAATACCCAAACGTGCCTTGAATATTCGCTAGCAACACCTTCCGCTACAAAAAAAAGAAAAAACCTACATCAAATAAAAATTCATCGCACGCTTGACTTCACATGAAAAAAGTACCAAGTTCTTTTCAGAATCGCGTCACATAGTTCGTTGATTTGTTACTCCGAAAAGTCAACAATGTGATCGAGGATCGTTTATAAATTTTTGTTTGATACCTTAATACCCTCAGCCATATGGCTAAAGAGGGTATACATCATTTGATACGATCAAAACGTGCCTAGTCGAAATAACGGTTTTAGACCCTAGGTCTCTTTTGACAAATCTACTACGATAACTTTCGAAGAGTGTATCCGATTTGATCCAAACTTGGTACATAGTTATATTTTCGTCAAACTTAGATTGAGTTCGGAGATGTGCAATATCAGTCCATTCCTTCTAGTACCTCCCCCACAAAAAGTAAACATTTTCAAAAAATATATTTTCTTCACAGAAGGAGAAACGATAATCCGAGTTTACTCCAACTTTGCAAATCCTAATATTTGCATTAGGGCTAGGTACGCTGAGAAAATGGACAATATCGGTCCCCAATAATTTCAACTCTTATAAAATGTGACGTATTGTCTTCAAATTTCACACTTCCCAATATTTTTATAAACCCAGGATCTGGTGTTAAGATGGAATATATCGGTCAACTCCTTTTGTGTTGATAGAAATAGTAGGATATCTGAAATTGTATGAATCTGATTTATGAAAGAAATGACAATTCAAAATTTTGACCCATTGTGGGAAAGTTATCAGAATGTGTGGACTGGTATATCCTACCTTCATACCAGATTTTGTGTTAATAAAAATAATAAAATGTGTGCAGTTTGAAGACAATGTTATTATTTCACATTTTATAAGAGTTATATTTATTCGAAATTTTAAACCATTGTGGAAGAGCTACCAGAAGGAGCTATCCGATATATTTTATTTTCACACAAAGTCTTGTGTTGCTAGAAGTATTGGGATGTGCAAAATTTTAAGGCAATCGGACTCGTATTTCACATTTGATAAGAATTAAAATTAGTCAAAGCCGCACTCGAATCCTACTGTCGTTTCCTAACCATGATGCCAGGCTGATTATGTACCGTCACCTTTAGATTAGTAGATTTTGCTGGGCACCGAAAGCAGCTTCTCATGTGGGGCTCTGTCACATTTAGGGCAGGTATTATGCACATTGCTGTCAATTCGGGTCCAATGCGAATTAAGGCTGCCATACGGATCTTAATGGTTCCATTGATATGGTTTCCGAGTACCGTTTTCACCATACATTTCTCCATGACTTCTGTAACCGCGTCTCTATAGATTATGAAGGTCTTCCCTTGCGTGCCTGGCCGAAGGTTGCCTACCCACCAGAACGAATTGATAGCACACGTGTGTATTTTGCCAGTAGGCAGGTTAAGTTCGTAAATGGGCCATATAGGTCCACGTTTTCATATAGCCCTCATATAACGATACCTCCCAATATTTTGATGATTTTAGCGACGTTTTTTAATGGAATTGTTTAAAATTTGTACTTAAAGTTCGTAATAAGTACTACAACTTATAACAAAAAATTGCGTATGTAGGTCCTCGTCTTCGTATAGCCTCCATATAACGATACCTCCCTACATTTGGTATTTTGATGATTTTTGGTACATTATTCACTGGAATTATTTCAAATCTTGTATTTGAAGCTCATAATGGTTACTACAGCCTATGCCTAAAAATTACTTATAGGGAACACGTCCTCGTATAGCCCCCATATAATAGGTACCATTTGAGACGTACTTTTCTAAGTTTTTTTTCTAAGATTTTTT